TAGAATATAAACTTCTGGAAGTCTGGCTTTTTTGTCCAGTGGTGTATTCCCAAGCATACGGGACAATGCCTAGTGGTCAATAAAGATTCGTGAAAAGAGGCATTGACAGAACATTATGACAGTGACCACCTGCGGCACAGAGGTGTGGCAGGAAGAGCTGTGTGCAAAGCACTGTGTGGCTTGGACTTTAAGAGAAGAGGTCCTTGAAATTTTTTTAGTATTGATCAGCACTAGAAAAGCAGTTCCAGATTCAGGCCAGAAACCCAAGTCAGGAAAAACAAAGGTGTACTGGGAAGGAGAACATCTCCTCTGTCCTTTCCCTCTGGAACTAGGCATCAGGACACACAAAAATGGCATGCAACAATCCCTAAGAAGGGGAATATGCTTTATGCCTCATTCTCTGAAAACCCCTCTTTGTGGTTCGTCTTTAACTATGTGACTCTAGAAAAATATATGGCTTAAAGACATCATCACACCAAAAGTAGATACAGTAAATTTATTTTGTATAAATATAATACATATGGACATTATTTACAATACTAGTATTTATAAAGGATCTATATCTATATGGACAATAAGATACAAACTATTATCACTTTAAGTAAAAAGTGTTTCTAGAAATTCATGTCATTTAAAAAAAACAATATAGTATTTCAAGATTGGTTCTTAACATGCTATGACCAACTCATATTAAAGAGAGTTGCCCCCTTTCATCTCCCCCCACCAAGGGAATTTGATATTGAGGCTTTTTAAAAAATTTCTACCTTTATCTTAAAAAAAAATTAAATCCTATTAGAAATTATCTCTTTTCGGGTGCCTGGGTGGCTCAGATGGTTAAGCGTCTGCCTTTGGCTCAGGTCATGATCTCAGGGTCCTGGGATCGAGTCCCGCATCGGGCTCCCTGCTCCTTGGGAGCCTGCTTCTCCCTCTGCCTCTCTCTGTCTCTAATGAATAAATAAATAAAATCTTAAAAAAAAAAAAGAAATTATCTCTTTTCTTAGAAGGGAAAGTCATAGATAAGATTTTCCTTTAGAGAATATTAAATGTAGCATAGGCTCCAGAATATTTGTATATGGAATTCCTGGAAGAGACAGGTTGGAAAAAGCTCAAGGGGAGCTTAAAAAAAAAAAAAAATCAGAAAGGATCCATTTGGAGTAATTTAATTCATCAAATACTGGGTGTCCATAGCATGCAAGGTACTCTGCCAGATGCTGAGGAGTCTCAGATTCTCAAGGACAGAATGTGATGGGCACCGTATGAAAGTGTTTCCTAGCTAAAGGCTATGGAGACATAGAGAAAGGAGAGACTAAATCTGGTCTGGAGGAATAAGGGAGGAAGAATAGGAGAGAGGGACTAGGAGCAACTATCACAGAAATAAAAGTCTTGGGTACACAGGCAGAAATGGGTTGGAAAGAGGGTGAGAACAAAGAAGAAAGGTTGGGGTGGGATTAGCTGGAGTGTGTGACAACTGAGGAAAAGTGTTCCATGCTGAGCCACTGGGAAGCCAATGGAGGTTGCAAAGAGCAGGGATGAAACTAGGTTAGAGCTATGCTTTGTAGATAGCTCTGGCAGTGTTTAAAATGAGACCATGCAAAGGCGGCATTGGAATTAGAAGAAAAGTTATTCCAATCATTGGGAAGAGGTAATAAGGACTTGAGCCAGGGTCTGTGCAGTAATGGGAATGAAGATGGACCGGGTACAAGAGCAATAGCAGAGGGTCTTGTTGAGACTTGGAGGCAGATTCTGGAGCCTAGATTGGTGTTTTTCCATTACAGAAGAAAATAAACAGATCTGAAGGAACAGAAAGTGAAGTCATATAAAGTTTAAAATGCTTAAGAAGGACTCATGTAGATGTCCAACAGGTAGTTGCAAATATGGCCTTGCAGGATGGTGGAAAGAGTAGGTCTAAGGTCTGAGTTATAATGAGGGCATGTGGGGGGCTGAGTTTGAGTTGCAGACGACAAGACTCCTGTCCTCACCTTCTATGCATTTCAACAACTATTTTCTCTTAAAAGACACAGGATAGGTATTTTGTGAGAAACATACAGTATTTGCCTTCAAGGCATGTACGGTATAAGAAATAGGATTTATCTCTCTGAAAATCCTAGTGACTACATTTGACTATAGTGGTTCCCAAATTTCAAAAATGGGAGTACAAATCGATGCATACTCCAAGACAGATCAACATATGCTGTGATAACATTTACATTTTAACTAAATTACTAAATAGAAGGCTTTCCCTATTTCTGGACATATCCTACCAACATCTAGTTAACAAAACTACACTTTAAAGTTATCTTCTTCACTTACTTTTTCATTACTGCTTTATATTAAAGTTGCTCTGATGATCTCATTTTAAGAAACACTACTGCATACTCAAAGAATCAAGCTTTTGGTTGAAAAGAGAATTAAGGATCTTGGGCAAAGTACAAAAGGATCATACTGGGTATATTACAGAACAGGGGAAAAGAGGTTGGAGAGAGGTTCGGAAATGTGGGACGATGCCTAAGATAACCTTCTTATTTTTCTAGGACTCTGATGGATCCTCTACATTTACAGCTGTCACAGCTGAGGAGGAACCTAGACTCGGGGGGACACACTAAGAATGCCAGCCTTCCCCCAGTTTAACCTGGCATCTCTTACCAAGGTTACTTTTAGCACCTTTTTGCTTAGCTTTACAACTGCTCTTCTTTCTCCTCCTTATGAATAAAAGGAGAAACCTGAAAAGGGTGTGATGGAACACACGCATCAGTGTAATAAATACAGTATTCTTGGGATCAGGTACTGTGTATACTTTCTCATAGAATGCACCCAATAGGAGCGCCTGGGTGGCTTAGTCGGTTAAGCTTCCAACTCTTGATTTTGGCTCAGGGAGCTCAAGCCCTGTGTTGGGCTCTGCACTCAGCAGGGATCCTGCTTAAGATTCTCCCTCTCCCTCTGCCCCCCCCCCCCCCACTGAATGCACCCAATATCACTTTTTCCTCTAAAATGGTGGCTATCAAGAGATACATTTTTTAAAGTAACTTTACAATAAAACATATATAGTTAGGTTTCTCAGTTGACATTAAATGAGCCAGGTTAAATAAATAATTGATCGGCTTTGGTAAGTTATGAAGGACTGATGAGGTGGGGAAGGAAACATAATACCATTCCACATTTAAAACATTTTTTGGGGGGTGATGGTAATCTGATAGCTTCCTCAAAAGGCTATACATATTTTATATTTTCAAAACCCCCCATGGGGCGAAGCCAATAGCCAGTACAATCATACATGTGTTTTACATGTAATTAGAATTAAAAGAAGTTTGTGCAGTGTTTTTTCTGTTTAGATTTATAAATCATTCTTGATTTAGCCAGCTGTTGGAAGACAAAATAGCCTGGCTGATATTTTTTTAGATTCTGAGGTTTAAGCCAAACCTTCCAGTCAGAAGGCTGAGAGCTCATGAGGAGCAGGGCAGAACTTCAAATAACTTGTCCTTTGCAAAATGCTAGACCCAAAGAAGAAGGAAACACTTTATAAGGTATAACCTTGGTCTCCAAAAAGGATATAAAAACTGCAACGATTTTAACATGGAAGCCTTATTTATGCTCACTTGATTAAAATAAGTGAGCTGCAAAGAAGTATTAGTTTACCTACTGTGACAGAAAGACTGGGGAGATAGCATGTAAGGATTGTGTGTGAGGGTGCAACAGGGTTTAAAATGATCCCACAGCAAGAAACAGCCAGAAAAAACTACAGCAGCCAACTCTAGATTTAGTAGAGACTCTAGTGCTTCAACAAACAACTTCAGAAAGACAGTAATTCTCTTGGCAATGGTATCACACTGAATTAGGAAATACTTTATATAGAAGCAGAAAGGAAAATTCTTGTGCCCTTTTGTGAAATATTCTATGGATGACCTTGCCTTTTAAGATAATTTAAGCTCAGTCAAATGTATATTATAAACATCAAGAATGACTTTAATCATAGTGTGATTTTCATTTTTCTTCTACTCATCAACAGTTTTATGTACAAAGCAGTTCACATGTTAAATAGTAAGTGCACCAGAATTATGAATATAAATATTTCCTAATGAGATGCATTTGGCAACTGGTTAAAGAAATAAAGGATTTGTTTTAATTACCAGGGAGGACATAACACAAAGTAATATTAAATAACCTTTAAAAAACGAATACAATTTCAGTTAACACTGGCTTTGAATCTGTGCTTTTTTGGTATGGTAATTCCAGTTCATTTTTTTAAAGCACAATATTATAGGGAATGGAACATTCTTTTTAGATGCAAACACCACCACTGACTTGGGCTCAGAACACTTACAATAGCAAAGGATATTGTGTAATATAATGCTTGCTGTATTTTTTTTTTTTAATAATACATTTATGTTTGTGTTGAACTGGTAGCTTTAAAAAAAGGATGAGACTTAATATAAAGACCATAGAGTTAATTGTGTTCCTCCATCCTCTTACCTACTACTCATAGCTCAGTTCAATGAAAATTTTCACATTCTATCCCTTTGCTCTAATTCCTTGATGATGTAACATTATCTCATGCCAAAAGAGGTACAACAGAAATACTCTGGATAATTTACTGGAATTTCATTTCACAGTTACTGAGGTAGGAGTTGGCCGTGTGTTTTTCCGTTAAAAGATACAAAAATTCATCTAAGTTTATTGATTCAAAACATACATTTTTTTCATCAGCAGTTTTAGAGTAATTTCTAAACCAAACACTGCATGGAAATTTGCTCCTTGATGTGTGTTTTTTATTTACAAAGACTCACCTCAAGTAAGAGTGTTACAATGTAACACTACAAAACACTGAGAAATCTGTGTCACAAACAGTTAATACAGTATACAATATTAAGATAAGTTTTCTGGTTTCTAAAGAAAAGGTACTTTAGAATTCAGTGTGAATCTCAGAAATAATTCTGACCATTAAGTAAACATCAAAATTTTAATAAATAACATATACATGAAAAAACAAACATTAAAAAAATTACCTTATACCTAACAAAATAATTCATAATATCTGATGAAGATTTTGGCTGGATTTATCTTGGCAGTGTTCATTTATATAAAATTTTTGTACTGCATTTACTCCATTCTGATGAAATTCCACCCATTTGGAATCACAGAAGGGATGAAACCAGTATCGCTACAATATTGTGCCTTCCTGAAATGCTTCTATCCACCTATTGGTAAGAGAAATTTGTTAGATTTGTAAAATGCAATCCTCCGATAGATGTTAAAACAATATAGATCACAGCTGTGCCTGTGGATCCAATCACCCTAGCAGTATATTTAAGAAGTTTCCTATACCAAATTAGAATTCTGCGTATATGGAATTGTCCTTTATTTGGTAATATGGCCAAAAATTTGGACTGAAAAGTGCATCTTTTATGTCCATGAAGCGTGAGGAAGGGGCCATTTCATGTAAAAGCTCTATGAAGTCCTGATGATTCCATACGATTGGTTTGGGAAATGAATTACATTTGCCAAGGCTTTTATTTCAACCCCCTTTCTGCTTTTAGGAACACAAGCTTTGTCTCTGTCTCCTTCTCTCTTAACTCCCTGGGCATCCATAGTCCAGACCTGTTCTAATACTTCCAATGAAAGAGAATCTAACATCTGATCTACTTCAGTTGATCAAAATTTTGCATGCAATATGAAGTGTATCCAAAAAAAAAAAAAGTGTCTCAGAGTTTCTAGAAGTCTTTCCAAAATTTGTTAGTCTCTAAGTTTTATCTGACAATACTCACAGCTTGCAATTATTCAGAAGACACTTGGAGGTCGTCTTTTTGTACCTCCCTAGTACTATAATTGCTTCCAGACTTACTATGAACATTTGAAATCACTCAATTTAATTAGTAAACATAGCCTACCCCAGATATAGCTCAAATTTCAAGGATAGAATTTTCAAAACTTTAAATGCAAATGGCATAAGTTATAATAAAAAAGTCTTTTAAAAAGCTAAAAATTTCCATTAAAATTAATACATTTTAATGTTCTGTAATGTGTAAAACCACCTCCATATTAGTGACTTCAAAGAGAAACTTATAATTTAGCCTGTATTAATTCTAAATTACAAGTAAGCTGATTTCCTTCACTCAGCTACATTCAGTTGTATTGAAGGTTTTTCTACCTTGTCAACTTAATGATATAAACAAAAGATGCATATTCAAAAGAAATAATTTTTATCAGTTTGATGATGAATACAGATAAAAATCATGAGAAATGCAATGCCTAACAGAATATTAGAACAATCACTCTTTTATCCAAGGTAGTTTTTACAGAAAAAATAGTTAAGTGACATAATTTTAAATATTCTTCAGTTCACTTGAAAAAGAATTTTTTGGAGTAACAGATAGGCACTAGATATCCTGACATAGACTGAAAAAAAAATCTTACAGATTATCTGTCACATTGTACCTGATTAATATCCAGGAACGTATATAATTCTGGTACATTAAATCTAACTGCCTTAAGAAAAGACAAGCCTTGTTTACTTAAGGCATTCTTTTTTATATGCACGCGCATTTTGAGCCTATTGAGAAAACATGAGCACTAAGCTCTTAGAGGAAACAAAAACGTATAACTTGTGAGGCCAAAATAAAAATCACAGGAAAGATCTGGTGAAAGGTAAACTGCACTGTTTTGTTTACAAAGGACCTGAATTTCACAGAGATATGCTTCTCTATGTTAAACAACCTCATGATATCAAAATAAATATTCTTGTTGGATTTTTAAAGAGACTGTTTAAAAAAGCCTTTTACCATCTAAAATGATATCCATTTCCTTCTACTCAGTTATTGGGAACAGCATGGGAGCCTCTTAATGTGTTTGACCCTTTCCCCAAAGAAGTAAGTTAGCAAGCAGCTGTTTAAAGTCCCGCTGTTCCATGGCACAATTGAATCACTGGATTGCCAAAGTCCTGGAATGTTTTAAGAGATGATCCTTACCCTCATGGAAGGAGAGGTCAAATGCCTCAGCTTCCTTTCCTTTCAACAGAGCAGCTTCATGCTGCTTCCTCAGAGGTCATGTATAGACAAAATATTTTGGACAGGACTACCTATTTTCCTTTCCCCTCTGTCTCCTGAAAATATTCCAGATCCTCCTGCCTGTCCTTAAAACAGTCCTAAAGACTTTGAAAAATATGTGAAATCTAACTAATTTGGATCTCTGATTTAAATTCTTAATTGTCCCCACACATGAAAGTAGGTTATTTTAAAAATCAATCATGTAAGAACTTGAAACTCATGTATAAAAGAAAAATATGCCTAAATTACTTACTTCTGAGCTGAGTGAGCATCATCTGCTTTGAACACATAAAATAACATGTTTTTATGTAGTAACTGAAACACTCTAGACTCTGAATTCTCATCTTTGACTTGAGTGACAGTGAATCCTAGTAAAGGCTGACTCTCCAAAGCTGCCACGTCCTAATTTAAAAAGATACAAAGGGAGACGGGACTTTAAATTGATAACAAAATTCAGATTTGCAAACTCTTGAACTGTATAGCTATAATTTAATTTCATATACACACATATATATAAAACAATAATTCTTTGTTTTTCATTTTCTTTTATTCAACAATATTAAGCTGACCCCTCCCCACCTACCTCATGAGCCAGACACTGCTAAACAGTTTTCAGTGCGTTCACGTCCACTGAGTATCATATATTTCCCTACAACCATGTGAAGTAGGTAATTATATTACTTTCATTTTATGGATGCAGGAAACAAGCTCAGAAATATAAGTGATTTACCCTGTCCCACTAAGGAAAAGCTTGGCTCCCAGAGCAGTGGTTTTTATAGGATGTTACTGGAACACAGGGTGATCAGGTAGGAGAAGAGGGTAATAATTAGAGCAAATAGCCAGGCATTGTTTATAACCCAAACAAAGTCTATTTTATCTAAGCTTGAGGCCTGATCAATACAATCTGGAGATAGTCAAGGGAGTGTCAACCAAGACAGCTTGGCAGAAAGGTAAGAACCTTTGCCTTTAGTGAAGTTCTTAGTAGTCACATGACACCAAAAAAGTTACATTTTAATATTATGGAAAATTCCTAACATTTTTGAGTAAGAGCTCTAGGACACTGTTGACATTAAAAATCACAGCAACATCTCCCCCTCCAAAAGCAAAGCAAAACAAAAAATATACACAAAACAAATAGATGAAACAGATAATGTAATTATTTCCAATTGGCATTATAAAACCAGACCCCACAATCATTCATCTTTAGATTTCAGATCTTACCTCACTTGCAGCATATGTATACAGCACTTTATTTTTTATAACAAACCACAAGTGTTTCCAAGGTTTTTTATTGCCCTTTGATCTGTACAAGTAGCCACTCATGGAAGAATCTTCTGTGTTTGCTGATACCTAGTAAGCAAAGCCCATATATAGTTTACTGGTTTTCAAAGAAACAAAAGGTAAAGTAACAAAATTGCTTTTGATCACTGGTGCTGAAAGCAATAACCATAATGATATAATGTTTCAGAATGAAATTGTTTATTTTCAAAGTCTGCTACTGGACAAATCAAATACTGCCATTACAGGGGGCATAAAATACCCTTCTGTTTAGAAGCAATTCCAGCATTGGGGCACCTGGGTGGCTCAGTCAGTTAAAAGTCCAACTCTTGATTTCAGCTCAGGTCATGATCTCAGGGTTGTGAGATCAAGCGGCACGTCAGGCTCTGCACTGGGCGTGTAGCCTGCTTAAGATTCCCTGCCCTTCCCCACCACTTCTCTTAAAAAAAAAAAGCCATTCTAGCATTATGCCTGGTTTAATTGAGCTTGCATATATGTATTTCTTTGTGGTGTCACCTGTGTTTTCTGGGTTGCCAGAAGAAGAAAAATAATTCTAAAGATCAGAAGTGCTTTTTGAAAGTTGCATTTTTGGGGCTGTATATGTTGTTTACTGTTCTTTGAATTTTGCAATGTTAGGGAAAATTACTTAAATCTTTAACTCTGTTCCTGAAATCATTTTTTGGACTTATAAAAACTATTAACAGAGGTAAATGGAAAATTCAATTATTCATGGTGATTTTAAGGATTAGTTTCTGATCCCCAAATTTTGGTCTGAGAAGCTTATTTTGTTTCATAAAAGGAAATGTTAAGAAAATGTCTTAATCTCTAGACAAAAAGGTAGTAAGCTCTCAATGATCATAATCTGGCAGCTGAAACTTCTTTTTTAACATAAAACAACAGAAATAAAAAGTCAAGTTTAGGAATTATGTTGTTAGGAGAATGATGAACAGACTTTTTTTTTAAAGATTTATTTATTTTAGAGAGAGAGTGCTGAGTGGGCAAATGCACACGGCGGGGTGGGGCAGAGGGAGAGGGAGAGAGAGAAAATCCTCAAGACCCCCTGCTGAGCAGGAAGCCTGATGTGGGGCAGTATCCCAGGATCCTGAGATCATGACCTGAGCCGAAATCAAGAGTCAGCTGCTCAACCAACTGACCCACCCAGATGCCCCTAGAATGGTGAACAGACTTTTAAGGTGGTTCCCCATGATCCTTGCTCTGATAATCACACTACTGTATAGTCTCCTCCCCCTTGTGTGTGGGGAGGACCTAAGACTTGCTCCTAACCAATAGAATATGGGGAAGATGATGGCATGTCACTCCCATGATTATGTTACATTCTATAAAACTCCATATTGCTAGTAGATGGGACTTTCTCCCATGCTGGCTTTGAAGTAGTTGTCTTGGGAGGCTTGTGTGGCATGGAAATGAATTCTGCTAACAACCTGAGTGAGCTTGGAAGTAGACCCCTCCCTAGTTAGCCTTGTGAGGAGAACTCAACATTGCCCAACACCTTGACTGCAGTCCTGCAGAGATCCCAGCTAAGCTGTGCTTGGACTCCTGAGATAATAAATGTATGTTGTTTTAAGCCTCTAAGTTTGTGGTAATTCGTTATGTGGCAACATAAAACAAATACAGGTGGATTCTATGAATTTTAAAAGTCTACCTTTAATCATGTATTAATTATATTAATTTCTTACAAATTTTATGAGAAGGATGATATATTATTGTCTAGTAGGAAATTTAACATCTAATGTTAAATGAGAAATATCTCTTAAGTGCAAGTAAATTTATATAAAGAAGTGACACCACTGTAGAAGACAGCCAAGTGATTTTTTAAAAATTAGAATGTTCAAATGAGATTTTGCTTAAAATGTAGTTACATTGGGATACTACTATGTACTTATGTTACATGTTACTATCATTGATCAAAATATTTTGTATGCTCCTCTTTTGGAATATTCTTAAATTAGTTGATAAACTGTAAAAGAATACAGTCACAATACTGGATAGTCATGCATAGTCCTCTATATCTTACTTTAGAAAAGATTTTATTTACTTATTTATTTATAGAGAGCATGAGCAGGGGGAAGAAAGCAGGGTAAGGGAGAGAGAATCTCAGTGCAGAGCCGGACACGGGGCTTGATCCCACGACCTGGATCTGAAATCAAGAGTTGGACGCTTAAACGACTAAGCCACCTGGTGCCCCTGTCCTCTATTATCCTCGTTTTTTTTTTTTTAAAGAGTTTATTTATTTATTTGACAGAGAGAGAGAACGGCAGGCAGAGGGAGAGGGAGAAGCAGGCTCCCCACTGAGCAGGGAGCCCGACGTGGGGCTCGATCCCAGGACCCTGGGATCATGACCTGAGCCGAAGGCAGACGCTTAACCAACTGAGCCACCCAGGAGCTCCTATTACCCTCTTAAAAATAAAATTGGTCTTAAGCAACTTAATCACATGAGTCACAAAACTTTCCTTCTAGTGATCTGATTATTTAAAATATAAATCAAGTCTAACTCAAGAGACACAGAGTGCCATTACTGAGGGTACTGAGGCTCTGAATGGAATTCTAAAAACAAAGAGTTTCTAAAAATGTATTGAACATTCCTGGAATAAAAACACAACTTCCCAATTCCTCAAAAAGTTAAACATAAATTACCATATGACCAGGCAATTACACTCCTACGTATATTATTAAAACAAATGTCCACATGGTAATATGTCCACACAAGGTTTACAGCACTGCTATTCATAATAACTCAAAGGTAGAAATATCTCAGATGTCCATCAACAGATGAATGGATAAATTGTGGTATATACATACAATGGAGTATTATTCACATTATAAAAAGAAGTACCGATACATGCTATAACTTAGGTGAACCTCCAAAATACTATGAGAAGTGAAAATAGCCAGACAAAAGGTCATGTATTATATGATTCCTTTCACTTTTTTAAAGATTTTATTTATTTATAGGGAGCGAGTGCACAAGTAGGGGAGGGGAGGGACAGAGGGAAAGGGAGAAGGAGACTCCCCACTCAATGCTGGGCTTGATCCCAGGACCCTGAGATCATGACCTGAACCGAAGGTAGATGCTTAACCAATTGAGCCACCCAGGCACACTTGTATTTATATTTTTAAAAGAAAACTCCACACCCAAGGTGGGGCTTGAACTTAGGATCCCGAGATCAAGAGTCACATGCTCCACCCACAGAGCTGGTTGGGCACCCCTGAACTGTATCCTTTAAATCGTTAATTATAAGTTACATGAATTCACTTCAATTACAAATAAAATGACAAAAAACACAGCTTCCCAAGTAGAAAACTTTTATGGCACGTAACCAGATAAATTATTTTTCCCAGTCTGCAAAGGAGAAAGCAGTGGTTCTCAAAATTTAGTATACATCTGAATCACAGAGAATGCTTGTTAAAGTTTCTGATTCCGTAGACCTTGGGTGGGGCCTAAGAATTTCCATTTCTAGTAAGTTCTCAGGTGATGCTGATGTGCTGCTTTGGAGGACATTTTGAGAGCCAGTGGAGTAAAGGAAGGAATGACTGCAGTGGAAGGTCTGTTTGTGTGGTTGGGTAAAACATGTACAAAATGTGACTGGAGTCAGGCTGGGTCTAGTCTAGACTAGAAATAGTTTTGTAAAACTAGCAGTGTGGAGTTTAGACTGAGGAGGAGAACAAATTTAAGAATTATATTTATAAACTATGACATTAGCATGGAGAGGAGAACAATTATAGAAAACTGAAAACTATTTCCATTGGTTAAGAAAAGCTCTGAAAGTCACTTTAGATTCAGGAACTGAGTGATGGAAGAGACAGTTCAGAGTACTAAATTGGCTTCACCAGTTTAAGAAACCTGGCAATTAGGACCGTAAGTCCTCTTCTTACTATTTCATGAGGCTGGCTATGAATCATTTCTTAGTGTTTTAACTACCATG